ATGCTCAGATGATGAACACAGGGTCTGGGTTGGTTCATATGGGGAGAGGCAGTCCTTGAGGTACAGGCAACTCACCATATACGCAGGGGTTATGTTCCAAGGCACTTTATGTTTAAGTGAAATCATGTATACCTGAAACATCACTGGAAAAGCCCACAAAGACCCTGAGAGAGTGGCTGTATTTTTAAGAGACCACTCCCTGATTGTGAGTTCTGCATATCCTCCAACATCTCTCCAATGAAAATAGCGATGTTCTAAGGAAAAGCTGGACGTTCCAGGATGAAATCAGAAACCGGGATGGCTTCTGCAAATCCGGAACTGTCCCTGGAAAATAGGGTCTGTAGTCGCTGATAACTACTTTACAATCTGTTTGGAAGACACCCCAAATGGCATCTGCACGGAAGGCTTCTTCATGCAGTGACGATAACGGCACTGCTTACCAGGTGGATCCTCCATATTCTGTAGGATCTCCATAGCAACACCGAACTACACGATATGCCCCTTGCTTGCGGAGCTACGCAAAAGCATCTTTCAGCAGCCTCCACATGGCTCCTGTATAGTGTAGATCAGTCCTTAGATGAAACAAATCAGAAGTAAAACGACATGCCACTGCCAGCTGTTGTGATTATTTGGGTTGTTGTTGTTTCAGTGATAGACCAGTAGAAGAGAAATGTTATTTCAGAGATGTCAGTGTACCTTTAAATAACTTCACACTAGAAAAAGAATGGAATTGCAGCCTTCTAGTCTGTACAACAAAGTAAGAAGTCTTGACAGCATCAAACTGACTCATTTAAATACCTGCTTTTCTTAGGAAATGCCAACGGATGCTTTACCCAAACAGAATTATTTATCAAGAGGCGAAAGCAACTGATTTCCATTTCTAACTAACTGTGTAATAACTTGCAGCGGAGGAAGAACCTCAGTTTGTTTACTCTATATAGACTTGTGCGCTGCATCTATTTTCTACTGCAGACTGCTTTTTTAAAAATAGTACTGGACATAAAATAAAAGGGCATTAATAACAACCATTCCACAGTTGGCAGGTTGTGGAATGGCAGTAGTTTTAGGACTGTATGAAAAGGAATATAAGTATCAGTTGATTTTCCAACAATGTAGCCCAGGCATAGGCAAACTCGGCCCTCCAGATGTTTTGAGACAACAATTCCCATCATTCCTGACCACTGGTCCTGTTAGCTAGGGATGATGGGAGTTGTATTCCCAAAACATCTGGAGGGCCAAGTTTGCCTATGTCTGATGTAGCCCATCACAATCACCTCAGAGCTAGACAAGTGTTCAAGTTCCTCTTAAGCAGTATGGGTTATTTTACACACCTTATCCCCTTTCTTTCCCCATACTTCCTAAAAGGAATGGGTTGTATAAAATGGTGGATTTCTGCTACCAGGGCACCTGATATTTGCCTATCCCTCCCATGCCCTGCAAGAGCTTCTTCTAACAGTTGCAGAATCCTCTGGAACAGTTTGATGAGGGCTACAATTAGTATGGGGAACCGGTGAGGAAAAGGGATTGTGCCTCACTTTGCACTAGTGGAGAGCAGTTACACTAGTACAAAGCCAGCACTAGATACAACCATTGCTATCTTAGCTTATGCCAAGCCTACTTTGTATTCATGTTTTAATTAAGAACACATGAAAAGCCCTACTGAATCAGGCCCATTTGGTCCAGCATTCTGTTCCCCCAGAATCCCACAAGAAGGACCAATGAGTACAACAGCACCCTCCTCACTTGCAACTCCCAGCAGCTGGTATTGGGTTTTAGAAATGTGCATTAATGCGTTTTCATATGTTGTACACAGCACCACATGCTGAAAAGTGGCGTAGAAATAACTACAAATATAACCCTATAATAATAATGCAACATTCAGCTAAGTGGAGCGTTAGGTATCATCATCTAACTAATACAGTGGTACCTCGGGTTACATACGCTTCAGGTTACAGACTCCGCTAACCCAGAAATAGTACCTCGGGTTAAGAACTTTGCTTCAGGATGAGAACAGAAATCATGCGGCGGCAGCAGGAGGCCCCATTAGCTAAAGTGGTACTTCAAGTTAAGAACAGTTTCAGGTTAAGAACAGACCCCCAGAACGAATTAAGTACTTAACCCAAGGTACCACTGTACTTACAAGTGTCAGGTGTCAAAAAGGCACATGACCATTGAGCATTTAAAATTACCATGTGGTGTCAGAAGCATTAATGCTACAGACGATAAGACCCGTGGCCAGTGGCGAAGGAAGCCACTCGGCCACCTGGGGCTGTGCGCCCAGGGGCGGGCGCACCGTGGGGCCTCCGGAGTCTGTCTGCCTCTTCCCACTCAGCAGCCCTACAGCTGGGGGGGAGGCAGTGGGTAGACAGTTTGGGCAGCACAGAGCCTACGCACACTCAAGCCACCGTGTCTCTCCCAGAAGAGACGCGTGGCTCAGACACGCTGCAGGAACTGTGGTGAGGGCCACCTGGCATTTTGTCACCTCCCTCAGTGGTGACACCTGGGGCGGCCCGCACCTGCTGCACACCCCTTCCTCTGCCCCTGCCCGTGGCGCATTATTTCTAACAAAATTTATTTCTACAGGGCCTACAATATGCATGCTGCTTTACAGGGTAATATACACGCAGAAGAAGCAAGTCCCTCCCTCAAGAATTAAATTTCAAGACTGAGGGAAATATAAAGATTAGGGGCTGTGTCCAATTCTGAGTACACCCATTGGAACTAAAAGAACTAGGAGGACTAGTCTAATGCCCCTAGTCCACTAGCTGCACATTACTGGAGAGAAATGGAGGAATCAGTGGTAAGAAGACAGGAATGCAAGCAAATACAACCATTTATTTAATGTTTTGCAGAATTTCCTAAAGTGCCAGGTAAAGGTAAAGGGACCCCTGACCATTAGGTCCAGTCGTGGCTGACTCTGGGGTTGCGGCGCTCATCTCGCTTTATTGGCCGAGGGAGCTGGCGTACAGCTTCCGGGTCATGTGGCCAGCATGACTAAGCCGCTTCTGGCGAACCAGAGCAGCGCATGGAAACGCCGTTTCTATTTATCTACTTGCACTTTGACGTGCTTTCGAACTGCTAGGTTGGCAGGAGCAGGGACCAAGCAACGGGAGCTCACCCCCTCGTGGGGATTCAAACCGCCAACCTTCTGATCGGCAAGTCCTAGGCTCTGTGGTTTAACCCACAGTGCCACCCGCGTCCCTCTGTGCCAGGTACTAGCGTACATTTGGAGAAGGATTTGATCTCCTCCTTTGTTCAGTAGTTTGGAAGTGTGAAGGAAAGGGTCCCTCATAATAATAATAATAATAATAATAATAATAATAATAATAATTTATTATTTATACCCCGCCCATCTGGCTGAGTTTCCCCAGCCACTCTGGGCGGCTCCCAATCAGTGTTAAAAACAGTACAGCGTTACATATTAAAAACTTCCCTGTCTGCCTCTTCCCACTCATACTAAATATAATCAGCATGCTTTAGTTTCTGGTACAACTAATAGCATCCTTGTTCAGTATGGTCTGTACCGTTGAGATGGGTCTGAGAAAGCTCAGTTAAGGGAAGCATCGTTTTACTGGCTCTGGTTCACTTTCCCAGCCTCACCCCCCCCAACACACGTAGCTTCCTCTCTTTGGGGTGCATTCTGGTAAGTCGCTGTACCAACAGGCAGAACTAGATCAGGAATTAATGACTAAGAATTGCTCAATGTGTTTGGGTATAAAAATCAAAAAAGTAGGGCTGTTAAAAAACAACAGATTTAAGCACCATCTGGGCTCTCTGGTCACAGTGGCACAAATTCCAAAGAAAGGCTTAACAGTGCATGATCTGAGAATCCCATCTGCTTTATCTAAAAATGAATCAATCAGACATACTTTAGCCATTTTTGTGTAACATGGGAAGAGAAAAGCCCATCTTCTCATTGACAGGTTTCCATAAATTCACTCTGGATTATTTTTTTAAAGTTCTTTCTTTTTTTACATCCAGCATTGAGAAAGAAATTGATGCTACAAAAGACATTGAGAGCTACTGCCAACTCATTTTTTCTTCTTCCTCCCTTCCTAGTTTTGCATAGGATAACATGTGATGTCACTGCATTGTGTGTTTCCCCTCTTGCTCATTACATCCTTGGCTGTTGCCAAGGGAGGGGTAAAATACACAACAGTGACATCATGGCACAGGCAGGACTAGGAAGAGAGATATCAGAGCAGTACCGAACCCAGCTCTCCTGTAACATCTAGATCTGCTTGGGAGAAAAAAGGAGCCCAGATTGGCAATATTTTTTTTAGAAACACTACCGTTACTATAAACTTCAAGAAAAAATAATTTCAAAAAGCGGATGGATCTAGTTCAAGACCATTGTTGTTGTTTAGTCGTTTAGTCGTGTCCGACTCTTCGTGACCCCATGGACCAGAGCACGCCAGGCACTTCTGTCTTCCACTGCCTCCCGCAGTTTCGTCAAATCAAGACCATTAGAATGATTTAAAATATCTGAATAAGTAGCCGGAGTAAGAACAATTATCTTTACACTGCTTATTAAAATCAGGCCTCTCCTACCACTACACTACCTGCTCTATTAGGCAAGATGAACACTTTGCTTCTTTCCAGACAGAAATCCACCTTAATGACCCTGAAATTTTACTGCATGCTGTTTTGAATAAAAAGGACTCTTAGGTAGAGCAGGTGAAGAATTTAGACTGCATACAAAAGGCATTCAAACAGCAGAACAGCTTGACTAATAACTGGGAAATCCTACCGAAATGCTTCTTCTCCTAGAAAGTATATGAATAAAGTTACGATCTAAACAAAAATCGTCCCAGCTACCAAGTTGCTTTCAGTTCTCTTGACCCAGAATCACTTAAAGTTGTGTATCTTTTCCCAAGTTACCTTACAGCAGTTAACTTTCATATTTTAATTTAGTTTTGCTTTCCAACACACATGCACCCACCTTGATCTTCAAGTGCTTATGTTATGGGTTCAATCGTTGTGAACTTGCTAGTAAGGTGGATAGCTCAGTTGGCTAGAGTGTGGTGCTGATAATGCCAAGGTTGCAGGTTCGATATTTCTGCATTGCAGGGGGTTGGACTAGATGATCCTCAGGGTCCCTTCCAACTCTGAGTCTGAATCTATGTCTATGGGGCACATAGTGTGGGGAAGATCATGCATACAGCATCCTACATGGATTTATTAATTGAAACTGTTTTTGCTCCGCTTGCAAAATGAATTATGTTTCTTTAAAATATAATGAAATATAAAATCATACAATAATTTTAAAAACATACAGCAGAATTACAGTCAATTTAAAAACAAATAAAAACAGATTTAGTCATCAAACACCTTCTGGAATAAAAACGCCGTATGAAAATGGGAAGAAATGAATTTATGAACTTCTCATAGTAGGGCAAAATAAAATATTAGCTAGAGAACAGGACCTCTGAGACGGAACTTAAGGCTTGGGTGAAGACTGTCCCTATGGCATTTGGGTCATAAGTCATTTACAGCTTTAAAGGTTATTACCAGTACCTTTAACTTATCCCAGATGTGAAGTAGTAACCAATGTAAATTGATCTTAGATCGATGTATATGAACCAACTGCCTCACTCCTACCAGCAACCTGGCCATTGCATTTCAGCTATCAGTCAAACATTGATGTCTGTACAACCTAAGCATGGTACACTGGAACAACCAAGACCCTATTTACCTTGAACAGAAGGAGGCAGCAGCAGCCGCAGCAATGAAAACCATACAAGAAGCTGCCTTATATTAAGTCAGTCCCTTGGTCCACCTACCTCCGTACTGCTGCATTGATTGGCAGTGGGACTTTCCCAGTCCTCGCTGGAGAAGCCAGAGATTGAACCAATTTATATATATGTAAATTGCCAAGCATGTAAAGCTCAATACATACAAGTTAAATGTATGTAAATTGTGGGCTTGCTGTACAGCAGTAGTGCCAGCACAATCCAGTGCACTGTATGTTTATTCAGCAGCAGGTCCCACTGTGTTCCATGAGGCTTACTTCCAACCAAGTGGGCTTAGGATCAAAATCCAAAACACATGCATTTAGTATCATTACAATCTGTGGCCAGCCACTAAAGCAGTAAGAACATAGTAACAGCCCAGGTAGTCCAAGCATCTGGTTCTGTGGTGGACAACTAAATGCTTGTGGGAAACCCACAAGGAGGACCTGAGCCCAAGAGCACCCTCTCCTCCTGTGGCTTGCAGCAATTACCAAACAGGTTCACACAGACCATGCTTAAAGCATGGAAGAAAGAAACAGGCAAACTGTCCCCAACCCCATCCCCACTAATCCCCCCAGCTCACCGCCCACTATTCCATCATGCAGCACAAAATTTCCAGATAGAAAGCTGGCAAGCCAAAAGCTTATATTGCCTAGCGATATATTCTACAAAAATAACAAACCCACATCAACACAAGAAATGCAAGACAAACCAGCAGACACTCAAATGCCCTGGCTAATTACATGCCTTCTTAAACAATCCAGTAGTAAAATCAGTAGCAACTAAGCTCTGGACAACCTTCGAAAACCTCCTCCTAACAACAAAGGGACGAGGCAAGGGGGTGGTATCCACAATATACAAAATACTGCTCCAAAATCCCACAAACCCCCTTGGCATAATCGAAAAACGATGGGAGGACGACATAGGCTATGAAAGTAACCCCACGCAATGGACTAGAATGTGGTCTAAGCCTCCCTTTAAATCCCTCTCAGCTAAAGGAAAAGAAATCAACCTGAAACTCACTTACAGGTGGTATCTAACACCACAGAAACTAGCGCTGATACGTCCAGGAGCCTCACCAAAATGCTGGAGAGGCTGCACCTCCAGAGGCACATACCTCCACATGTGGTGGAAATGTCCCAAAATCCAACTCTTCTGGAATCAGTCATACAAGAAATATGCAAAAAAAAGAAAAAAGAAAAGCAGTAACTAAACAGGTATTAGAGGTCATCGCAGAACTGGCCCTACTGAACATCTTCCAAGATAATAATGCCCACTCAGCAGCCAGAAGCATCATAGCCAGACACTGGAGAGACCTGTCAGGAGTAAACATGAATCAATGGTATCAAACAGTATGGGAAACAGCCATACCAGAAAAAACTAACCAATAACTGAAACTGACAGGGGGACAAATAGAAGACCACGCCTTCACCCCAGTATGGTTCCCCTTTATCACATACATAGTCCAATAACACAACAAGAATCCGCCGACAGCATACGAATCAATATGGCTAACCTGACCCCAAAATCCACCCTCTGACACACATAAACAAATCTCACTACAGCCAACCAAAGACAACCAACCACATCCTAGGCCAACCCCAACCTCTCTCACCACCAAGGAAATATAACAAGCGAATAAAAAGAGAAACCACACAAGTGACACTGACACAAAACTCCACACAGTAGAAAAATCGAAGCATTGCTACCTTACCCACCCTCCTCCGCTTTCCCCCCAACCTAATACCGCACACAACATTAATGTCTCACAACAAATGTAACTGATCTGTAGAAAACTCAACTTGCAAAAAGCTACAATGCACATATTTTTGTAAACTAAGAAATCTTTAATAAAAATTCTTAAAAATAAAAATAAGCTACATGAAGAAGTAATTTATTTTATCTGTGCTGGATCTTTCAACCATTCAGCTTCATTTGATCTCCAGAAGTTCTGGTGCAACAAGAGAGGGAGATAAACTTTTAGCTATCCATGCCACAGAGTTATTTTATAAGCTTGTATCAAGTCACCTCTTTTCTCGAAACCCCAAAGTCCCAAACACTACAAATGTTCTTCACAAAAGCCACTCCAACCCCCAATGATCTTTGTTGCCATTCTCTGAACATTTTCCAACTCTACAATATCATTTTACACTTGCTTACATCGAATTGCATCTGCCATTTTAAACCACCCATTCACTCAGTTTGGAGAGGTCCTTTTGGAGCTTCTTTGAAATCTATTTTTTTAGTAAACTTGAACAATTTAACACAGGTAGCTACCGATTTGCACAGGGATGATGTTCTGGGCACCTGTGCACGTCGGCGGAGCACATGTAAGACCGTCCCACCCTGTGGCTTTTTTGGGTTACTTCTAGGTTTGGCACAGTCACACACATATCAGATGCACCTAAAACGACCTGTAACATCAGCAAATTTGGACCTCTCCCTGTTCACCCAAATCTAGATCATGTATAAATATGTTAAAAAGCACAGGGCCCAATACCAATCCTTGGGTGACCCCACTTTCTACATCCCTCTATTTGGAAAAGTGTCTGTTTATTCCTACTCTCTGCTTGCAGCTATTTAACCAATTCCTAATTACTATTAGGGACGCGGGTGGCGCTGTGGGTTAAACCACAGAGCCCAGGGCTTGCTTATCAGAAGGTTGGCGGTTTGAATCCCCGCAACAGGGTGAGCTCCCGTTGCTCGGTCCCTGCTCCTGCCAACCTAGCAGTTCGAAAACACGTCAAAGTGCAAGTAGATAAATAGGTACCGCTCCGGCGGGAAGGTAAACAGCGTTTCCGTGCGCTGCTCTGGTTCCCCAGAAGCGGCTTAGTCATGCTGGCTACATGACCCGGAAGCTGTATGCCGGCTCCCTCGGCCAATAAAGCGAGATGAGCACCGCAACCCTAGAGTCAGTCACGACTGCACCTAATGGTCAGGGGTCCCTTTACCTTTAATTACTATTATGACTATTTATTACATTTATCAGACACAATCTTTTGAGAAGGAAAAACCATGCTCTACGTGGCCTAAAATGAAATTGTAAAGATATGCTGAACTAAATGGTACTGAAATGGCGCAAAGAAAGGCTTTTCAAACCTTTATCCCTTTTCAGCTACTGCTGAATAAGTGCTGCTAATGGCCAACGAGCGCATTAAAACGAAAGAAAACAATGCAAACTCTCAAAACGGAATTTACAATAGAACCCTGCACATACTCTGAAGCAAGTCTTACGGTGTTCAGTGGACTTACTCCCAGGTAAGTGTTCATAGGATTACAGCTTTAGTCTTGTTTGTTCACAAGTCTGTATCTTCTGAACGTGGTCTTGGAAGTCAATCAGCGCCAGGGAGAGCCGTTGATTCCTAAGCGGCCTCTGCATCAGGAGATGCGTAAACTACCACTAGCAAATGCCAAGGGCTAAACTGGGGAGGTGTCTTGCCACATCTCACAACTGTCCATCTAGGAGTGGCAACCAAATGATGAAACCTCTCCTGTTTGGAACTGTGTTTCATCAAGAGATGGTGAACTCTTCTTCATTGGAGGTTTTTAAGTAGATGTTGGGTGACCACATGCCAGAGATTCCTTAGCTGCGATTCTTGCCATGCAGTGGGTTGGAGAAGTCTCTTCCAACTCTACAATTCTATGATTCTGTGCATGGCAGGAAAAAAGAAAGCCCTCTTGCCATTAGCAATGTCCCAACCATAACCACCATCCAATATATTGCTTAGGGCAATAATCAAGGGTGCCAACACATTTTGTTAGGCATAATATACTGTTTTCTGATTGAGTTTGAAGATGGCAGACAGACAGGATATCAACAGGTGGCTTTTTCCCCATAATTACATTTCCAATACAATTTAAGGCTGAATCTATTGAATCTTTGTCTGCCAAACAGCTGTTAAAGACACAGCAGCTCTGCTCTTCCAAAATGCCAACCCAAACCCATGCAAATAACTCAAGATTTGTGAGTTGTCTTTCATCCACTGAACTTAAACTGATAATTCTAGATTTGGTGTATGGTATTTCTGGTTGAAGGGGAGGATCAAAAGAGATACAAGATTTACAACCACCAGGTTTCAAGTGGCCATGCCTGGATAAATTCAAAATTAAATTGTGAAGAGGAAGAAGAAGAAGAAGAAGAAGAAGAAGAGGAAGAAGAAGTTGTTGTACTCCGCCCATCTGGCTGGGTTTCCCCAGCCACTCTGCGTGGCTTCCAGCAAAATATAAATAATAAAAAAATGTCAAACATTAAAAACTTCCCGATACAGGGCTGCCTTCAGATGTCATGTAAAAGTTGTGTAGCTCTTTATCTCCTTGACATCTGATGGGAGGGCGTT